TCGGCCATTGAGATAGGAGCGGAACCACTGCAAAGCAGTGCCTCCGACCCCCAATGCCGCTAGCCTATCCAGAAGGATACCATGGTCGATGGTATTGAAAGCTGCTGAGAGGTCCAGAAGAACCAACAGGGATGCACTCCCCCTGTCCTTCTCCCTGCACAGGTCATCGTACAGGACGACCAAGGCAGATTCAGTACCGTACCCGGGTCTGAAGCCAGACTGAAATGGGTCCAGATAATCAGTTTCATCCATGAGTGCTTGGAGTTGTCCGGCACTCCTCCAACATCTTGCCCAGAAACAGGATGTTGGCCACTGGTCTATAATTAGTGGCCATTTCTGGATCCAGGGATGCCTTCTTTAGGACTGGCCGGACTACCGCCTCCTTTAAAGGGGCAGGAACCGGCCATCCCTCAGAGAGGCATTGACAACCTCCAGGATCCAGGTCCCTATCCCGTGCTTGGCTTTCTTAAGTAGCCAAGATGGGCAAGGGTCCAATAGGCAAGTGGCGGGACATACTCGTCCAAGCACCTTGTCCACATCATCAGGCCGCAATAACTGAAATTCATCAGTTATGATTAATAACTGGACCAGATGGCAACATTGGTATCTCCCCAGAAGCCTCTGAATCACTAGTAGAGTCTAGCTCGTGACGCATCTGAGCAATTTTCTCCCTGAAATGCTTGGCAAAGTCATCACAGTGGGCCTTCGAGGTGGAACCAGATCTTTCTTTCTGATCTTGGGCCTTTCTCAGTGTCCATCATCTCCATCCAGTGGAATCCCAGGCTGAGAGGAGACTGAGTTAATAGCATGCTTGAACCAAAACTTAAAAGAGAGACACGGGGAGAGAAAGCTTCAGGAAGTATCTTGGAGTTTTCGTAGAATTATGTCAGATTGGGCCTGGTGCATTGAAAGTATAACTGAAGAAGCAGCTCCTGTAGGTCAAGGATTTACTTTGTAGGACCTTTGGGATAAGCGGCACCTGGGCAGGTGGAAGAGCTCTTCCTTCCACCCCTGGTGTCTCAACCACAGTCTGGAAGGGACCTTGCATGGCTGCTCTGTGGGAAAATTAATCAATCACCGGTTTAAAGCCATGCTTGAAGAAAAAGCTGCAGAAACATGATGCCAGAATGTCTCCTGGCAACTCACCCTCCATCTCTGCTTTGCTCGTATTCAGGGTTGGCCATGGACCTCTCACTTATTCATCTTATTTTTTATTTGTAGCATTCATAGATCATTAAGTATAAGCACATTCCCAAGTGGCCACTTCACTTAGTTCACCACCTCTAACAAGCCCTACCTGGTCTCTATCGTCCCCTCTTTCTCCTGCGTGGGATTTCTTCCTCCACTGTTATTGCCACATCCCTTCTCAAAATGTACCGAGGCTCTTCACCATTATTCACCTGCTTTTAATGCAGGGACATCTACCAGAGGATAAAATATGCACCTATTGCATTCAAATGCACACATACTGTACTTATAACGCACTTGGAATGAAAGGCATGCCAGCAGAAACATCGTGGCAATAGAAGCGGTGCATTATAAATAAATAACTTAACCTTCCCTGGATCATTTTAGCATCAGAAAGTTCCATGTACCTGTCAGTGGTCTGGATCTCTTCCAAGCCTCCTCATGGTTGAAACTCAGTAGAAAGTCACCTGTTTTGTGGGTTCAGGTGCTGGAGAAATCAGTCCATGTGCAGCTGTCTGGCAGAGAAGGGGATTTGCCTGGTGCTGACTTCTGTACAGCATAGAATGTGTTTGTTTCTGGTTGTCTCTCGTTCCACCGTTAGCTGCAAAAACTGCTCACAGCCTGTCTGGTTTGGCTGTTAGGAGAGCCTGTATGGTCTGTCAGGCAATGTTTTTTCAGAGGAAAGGTAACTGCACTTCAACCATATATCAGGAATATTTTCTTGAGCTGGTTCTAGTTCTGTACCTTACAAATATGCAGGGAATATTAACTTACGTTCTTCCAAATACCTGGTGATGCCTTCCATGGGATAAACTCTTCATGGACAAAGAGAAAAGAGAGTTGGCAGCAGAGAAAATGAGAGGCTGAGAAATTTAGATATTTGATGCACACATTATTAAATATTGTCATGTATAATACTGTGTCTCAAACTCAGGAAGCAGCAGAGATGTTATTTTAGTCACCATGAGCAGGAAGACGAGCACTGTCCCTGAAGGATATATTGACCAGAGATGTGAAGATCAGGCTGGAATCTGGTTCCCTGCTTCTCGCCAGATTTCTTTCCCCTGGCCAGCAAGTAAGCTGAGCGGAGATCGAGTCTGTGAAGCCTCCAAAGCACCGCGGTTCCTTTGCACCGTGAGCACAAAGCAAGCAATTCTTTGCACAAAGTATGCACAGCCTGCAACTCACATGAGTGGAAGCAGAACGCCACACGCACAGGGGGTGTGCAGGAGACGTGTGCACGAAGTTGCTTCCTGCCAGGTGCCCACACGGAGGCCTGGTGTGAGGAAGATGCAGGGCAGAGAGGAAGCAGGCCGGAGCCTGGGGAGTTAAGCTGAGGAAATCCAGTGGATTCCCACCCTCAGACCAGATTCCCTGCACGTCCCTGCTGCTGGAGCGTGGTCATATGAAGGAAGCAAGTGTTCCTTCATAAGCGCCAAGTGCCACAGCACCGGCCTCCCCCAGCTTTGGCCAAATCATCTCCCACTTCGGCTGCTTTCTAAAAACCTCAGCGAAAAGCAAAGGTTTCTCCTGCCCTGCTTCCTGCACTCCGAGCACTATCAACTAGCAGGGCAATGGAATCATAGAATCAGAACAGAAGAGCTGGAAGGGCCATGAAGGCC